AGAGCTCTGGGCAAGTTTCGTGCGAGAAGTGGGGGGCGTAGCTGGAGCTCAATATCTTAGCTACAACGCTGACATCAACTCGTGCGAGAAGGGGAAGCAGGCAGTGGCAGCAAGGACTGTCAGGCGTGTCAGCCGTGTTTTAGGCCAAGTTTTTCTGACGATCAGTGTAAGTGGACGTTATTGTGAAGGAGGTATCCACCATCCCGAACGAGAACGGCCAAGGGTAGACTGATTCGTTATGGGAGTGCGGCCATTCACCAGGAACGCCTATGTAAGTACGGCTTGCAAGGCGTGAGGCGGCTTGCGTGGTGCTTTCCATCTGCGTAAGTCCTAAGTAGCACAATCCTAGCACAATCCTCCTCCTCCTCCTCCTCCTCCTCCTCCTCCTCCTCCTCCTCATGCCCCCCACTCCTCCTCCTCCTCCTCCTCCTCCTTCTCCTCCTCCTCCTCCTTCTCCTCCTCCTCCTCCTCCTCTTCCTCCTCCTCCTCCTCGAGTGGAAGTCCCAGGCACGATTCAGGGCCGTCAAGACGCAACAATTACGGTGATTCGCGGCGTTGGAAGTTCCGCACAATTCCCGGTGTTCAATCGGTCTTCTTGCAACGGGGCACTTCCCATCGTGAAAATTACGTTTATAAGGGGCCTATGGAGAGGGAGCTCGGGGGAGGGTTGCTTGCAATATCAGTGATGAGTCTTTGGTTTACACTCCTTCACCTCCTCCTCCTCCTCCTTTCCCTCTCCCCCTCCTCCCTTCCTCCTCCTCCTCCTCCTCCTCCTCCTCCTCCATCATCATCATCATCAGCAGCAGCAGCATCATCATCACCACAACCACCACCATCATCACCATCATCATCATCAGCAGCATCATCATCCTTCTACTGCTCCTCCTCCTCCTCCTGTTCCGCCTCCTCCTTCTCCTCCTCCGTCCCTCTTCATTACAGCCGGGCCCAGGACAGAAGGACATCCTTCGAGAATGTGAAACTCTCCGCCGGCCACATTAATTGACAGTCGAGAGTACTTTCCGCTATTATGCACAAGAGCATCCAACAAACACGAAGAACAGGTGGATACCCTCCCCGAGCCGACCTCGATCGTAAACCTCGTTCTGGCCATAAATAACGAACTCCTCCCTGTCGCACCCCGAGGCTGGTCGAGAGGGCGGGCTGGGCGTTTCGCCTGAGGCGTCCTCACCATATAGGATCGTGGAGCTTAAAAATTGCAAGAGCTTCACGAATGGAAGGTGGGTCGTTTTCAGAATGTGGTTATCGCATCAGCGCCGCGTGCGCCCGTCTTAAAAGTGTGCAAGAGCTACACGGATGGAGGGCGGCCCGTTTTCAAAAATGTGGTTCTCGTCTTAGCGCCGCGAACATTCGATGAAACAAGTTGCAACGCATTCAAAGATGTTCATGGCTACCCTTCCAAAAACAGTGTTTTGACACGTTGTCGGAACATCAAGGCGCAACCGTGGACAGTCACATTGATTCAGGGTGTTGAAATCCTCGAAACGGTGTTCTGGCACGAATGAGGGTCGTCATGAGGCCACGATTACGGTGATCCGTTGCGTTCTGGCACAATTCCCGATGTTCCATCGGTTGTCTTCTAACGGGGCACTTCCCTCAGTTAGAATGACCCCCTGTGAGGGTCCACGGGGACCTTTGGACCAGAATCTTCAGGGCTGCTGGAGAGCGAGGCGCGGAGATAATCGTCGAGTGGGTCGCGTCGCACGCCACGGTCGACGACATAGATTGCACCAGCGATGGCGCCGTGTTTCGTGCGATCGGCAATGAGTGTGCCGATGTCCTCGCTGGCCGCGCCGCCCAGCTAAATTGGTCTGCGTTCACGGTAGGTTTCATCCCAGAGGCTGATAGGCACGATGCGGAGGCGGCGCTGGTGCGCCGCAGGGCGCGTAGAGCTCTGGAGGAGAGTGTCCAAGCCGACCCATGGACCGCGGCCCGCCCAGAGCGCCCCGAGGTGCCTCCCGTGCCCGTGCTGGCCCGAGCTCGGATGGCGTCCGCCCACGAGTGGCGGCGCATCGGGCCCCGCTTCTTTTGTCTCCGGTGTTCGCGGTTCGAAACGCGTGTGTCGATCCGCGGCGCCGCTCACAGCTCGTGTCAGTCGAGGCCCACGGGAGACGGCACAGTTCCTCTCAGGGCCTCCCAGGAGATCGGAGGCCAGAGCCTGCACCCTAGCCACAAGCTCAGCTTCTGGGGCCACTTCTCGCTCACATTCTGCACTGTTTGCGGGAAGGCAGCGACCTCGGACCCCAGGTGGCTTGTCGGCAAATGCGAGCCGACCCCGACGGGGGCCCAGAACCTCAAGAGAATTGGAGGTGGGCGGTACCCCCACCCTGGGGGTCCGCCCAAGCATGTCCGTGATGCTGCCCTCGCCCGCCTGGAGCGGCCGCCGTCGCAGGACAGCCACGGGGAGGGCGGGGCATCGGCGTCGGCTTCGAATCCGAATTCGAGCAGTCAATTCGTTTGATCTCTTTTCTCTCGACTTCTC